AACTACAACTGGTACAATCACAGCCATTTTCCATGCCCTCTCCCAGGGCATAATTTCCAGCTCGCCCTCCCATGAGTCCATCTCCAGTCTGTTCCCAGACACTTTCTGCCTTTGTTCCAGGGCTACACTCTCCAGGACATCCAACTGAGAGCTCCCAGATTTTCTTCTTTCCTGCAACTCTTGCCTGGTAGGTAGCCCCAAGTCAGGAATCCCATGACTAAGACATCCACTCACACAGTCAGGCATCCCTACCTGTGAATCCTGTCCCTGCCCAGAGAACATCGCCCCTGGATCAACTCTTGATCTGGGCTCAATTTCATGCAGCCCTCCATTCCGGCCTGCTTCCTGCCTGAGTCCTACCCTTCCAGCATCAATCCTCCTGAGTTGGGCTCAGCTTCTCCTACCCAGGTTGGTTCTTCCCCTTGTTTCTCAGGGTCTCTTCACAAGCTCTCCTGTAACTCAGCAGGGCTTCCCCAGCCTGGCCATTCCCAGGGCCGCCCAGAGCAGGGGGAAAGTGGGGCAATTTGCCCTGGGCCTCACAGAGGCCCCATGAGCCCTGGCCGAGAATCCCTTTTCTCACTCAGCGACGCTCCGAGTCTGCGGCGGCAGCGGCATTTCGGCGGCGGGGGGCCCTTCAGTCGCTCCGAGTCTTCGGCAGCATTTCGGTGGCGGGGGACCCTTCAGCGCTGCCAAAGACGCGGAGGGACTGCAGAGCCCCCTGCCGCCAAAATGCTGCCACCGCAGACTTGGAGCGCCGCCCGGTGATTACAAGCTCCCCCGCTTTGCCCCAGGCCTCCTGAATCCTCTGGGCAGCCCTGGCCATTCCTCCAAATCAACCTTTTGTTCTTCCTAACAGCTCTCCTCTCAGCTCTCCTCTCTGCTCCTGATTCTCCCCTGGGTCTCTCCTTTCCTCCTCAGGCAGCTCTCACCTGCCCTTCTCTGTCTATCTCACTCAGTCTATGGTGAGGCAACTCTTTCTTGTCCGTCTCCTTACTCTCCATTTATAAGGTCCTGTTGCCTTCTTTTAACCCCACCTGGGAAGCAGTTTATAAATCACAGGTAAATTGAACCCTGCTTCCTCTTAAAGGGGTCAGTCACCCTATGACAGCTTGCAAACACAGCTGACTGAAATTTTTCATTCATAAAGCTTTTCTGTGAGGAAAATATGGTTTCACTGAAACCAAAGAATTAAGCAAATTATCAGTTCCAGTGGAAATTGTTGATTTTTTTGTGGAAAGAAACGTGGAAATGTAAATTTTCATTTCAAATTGATGTTTTGAAACAAAACAACAATTTTTGTTGTGTTGTCACACAAAATGTCATTTAGGTTTTTAAAACTTAAAAAGAAATGACATAAAATGTTAATGTTAATTGACAACTATTTTTGTTTAGTTTTGATCAAAAGTAACACCTTTCCAATTTGAAACTTTTTAGAATTTTTCATTCCATGACATTTTCCAATTTGGACCAGAAACTAATTTCAAAGTGTCAAAATTTCCCACTGAATGAAAATTCAGTTTTCTAAAAGTCTTGGCATGCAGTGTGAGATGCTGCAAAAACAAGACCTAACATGATTTTGTACTTCGTATCACAAATCCAAGAGTATGTTCTTGATACGATTCTATCTAACAATACAGGTATTTATATGGTTCTCATCACTATATCATCTAAGCACTTACTATCATTAATGCAGTTACACTCACATTTCACCTGGGAGAAAGGGAAGTATCTTTAATCCCCAGTTTACCACCTACTGAACTGAGTCAGGGAGACTAAATGATTTGCCCAAAGTCACACAGGAAATCTGTCCTGAGCCAGAAATTGAACTTTCATCTGGATTGATCCATGAATGACAAGTCAGTGACAATGCCTTAACCACAAGATCCAAGACCATTCTTTCTCCCACATTCAACCAAGAAGAATGCTGCATTCAGTTTATGGCACTTGGATACATTTAGCAAGATATAAAATGGAGGAAATTCAGTGAATTAAAATTAAAATGATTAAGAGGTTGGGGGTTTAATTTGAGGAAACATTTTTAAGGGGCCAAATTCTGTGCTGACTTACAACTTAGGGAACTACAACCAAGTCAGTGGGTTTGCAGAAGTATGAGTCAGAGCAGAAATTAGTATAGTTTGGCCAAATATCAACTAAGAGAAAATAAGAAAGGTGTAAATGCTAAAAAGGAAGAGGAATTGCTCTGTCACATTTATTATGTTCAGCCTTATCATGCCTGGTTCTTGGTGCAGACAGACCTCATTCTGAAAAACTTTCCTCATTAACTCATCCTAAAACATTTACATAGCATCTGAATAATTTATATAATTTATGGTGTGATTGGTAGGGAGCCATTAACTCTCTAAAAAAGCCACTAGAGGGGAAGCTCTGCAACATAAGGTACATGGCAATTGAGTGAGTTAAAGAAAGAAAAATACAAGAAATGCTTAATGGACTTTCTGAATGTGATAAAACTGAACAAAGCAACGGTTCCAAACATCAAATTCTAAAAATACTCTAGAGTAGGGCGAGCCAATGTGCTAAGACTTTTTAAAGGTTTTCTGGAGGTCACTCTTCAAAAAAACCAAACCTTTTCAATTACACTAGAGAGAGAGAAAATATTTCCTCAGAATTTGCAGTATTTCCTATATAAGGAATTACAGAAAATGCTGAGGTAAATTGAACTAGATATCAAGGGCAAAAGTGGAAAGTTTTCAAAGGTAACCACTGTGTTTTTTGTGTCCAGGAATTACCTTGGGGCATTAGCTTGCTGTAGACGGATAATGGCACAAGTAGGGAACAATCTCACCACATATGCAGACTGTGGCAAATAAACAGCTGGGATTGTGGGTATGGAAATCAAGGAGGCTGGAGAAATAGTGCTGTTTGGTGAGGAATAGGGCAGAACTGAAGGAAGAGAAAATAGACTTGTAGTGGAGGAAGCCCATAGGACCTCTTATGTTACTTTTTTCTTTATTTTTTTTCACCACAATGTGACTACTGTTAGTTAGTTTGTATGGGTCTGGAGAAGAAGTGAGTCCTTTAGAAGGATTTGAACAAGCAGAGGGAAAGGGCGTGACTGAGAGATTGTTCCATATATTGGGGAACTTGGAAAAAGGCACAAAGATTGATTTCAAAGCATTACATGGGGTTTTTAGCTACATCAGTCACTTTACTAGGATTGCATAGGTAAAATGATGCATAGTGCTTTGGAAATGAAGGGATTGATGTTACCCTATTATAGGACTTTTGCCTTTTTTAAATGTAGCATTACATTGCGATTGCTTTCTTTTCCTCATGAGCACTGTGTAATGCAGAGGCATGGGAGTCATAGAATTATATATCAGAGTGGTAGCCGTGTTAGTCTGTATCCACAAAAACAACGAGGAGTCCGGTGGCACCTTAAAGCCCAATAGATTTATTTGGGCATAAGCTTTCATGGGTAAAAAACACACTGAAAGTTTATGCCCAAATAAATCTGTTAGTCTTTAAGGTGCCACTGGACTCCTCGTTGTTTTTATAGAATCATAGAATATTAGGGTTGGAAGAGACCTCAGGAGGTCATCTAGTCCAATCCCCTGCTCAAAGCAGGACCAACCCAACTAAATCATCCCAGCCAGATGAGTCAATAGAGGGTAACACAAGTTAGGCAGCTATCAAGTATGCTGCTGTTACCACTCGCGTGATTCCAGCTGAGCAAGATGGAGTTAAAATAATCCAGCTAGCTCAGCAACTGTGTGGATGCAATTTACAGCAGCACTACATAAGTGGCAGGAAGGCTAACTCAGGAGTTCCTTTATTATGTTGCCCTCAGTGCCTTATGCACATGAGCACAGGATTTGCTCAATCAGAAATGCTGATCCTTGGGGCTTCATGTCCCACAATGCAATGTCTCTGGCAGCACATTCCAGGTGTTTGTGCATTCCTAATATGATTACTAAGGTATTTTTACATGAAAACAAGCTGCACCTTTAAAGATGGTAACAAACAATCACAATGCCAATTAAAGCTATGTTTTTGAAGAAATTATAGTGGCTTGATTATTAATATATGTCAGTCTGTGGCCCATGTTTTCCAGATTGCCTGGAACATGGAGGGGTTTACACTATGCTTTGCAGAATGCCTAAATACTGCTGCTGAACATTCCTACAAGGGTGTGGGCTGCAACTTCAAATACACATACTTTGCATCTAATTTAAATGCCTGGTTTCCTAATTTTATACCAGGCTACTAACCCCACCATATCTCACCCTACTGACATATCTAGTTTGGCCACTCTACACTATGAGCGGCAAACATGACTAGACTCATACGCTCTGGGCAGCAGGTGAGCCTCCAGTGAATGCTAAGTAGCAATGCTCAGAATCTCTGAAATTCTCTGCATGCTGCCCAGTGTCATGCAGGACAAAGCCTGATATCCTTTCTACAATTCTTTAAATACACAATTTAATTCCTCTGCACATAGGGCCTTCTAAGCCCTCCATGCATAGGGCCATCCTTAGCACACTGATATTAATGGAAATGCTCCGATAGACCACTATGGGTTTTCATAAGGCTGAAGCTGTTCATATGCAAAAACAAATGAAATGGGCATGCCCTGTTAGAAGTGTGAAAAGGTGACCAATAGCAAAGAAACAAAGTAGCTTTGATAATATGTGCAAAGGGGCCCACTGCAGAGAATTGGCCAATGTGTCTACTAAAAGTACTGAAGAGTTAGACAGATATGATGTGTCCTTACCTGTTCTGTCATTCAGAAAACTGTGAGTACTTATTGAGTGCAGATGTTCACTTTGCAGTATACTGTTCAGCCACTAGATGTGTCAGTGTGCTTTATAGTGTTCTAGACATAGAGTGGAGACAAAGCTGGAACTCATGCTATGTTGAAGTCTGTTTGTTTGTGTTTGTACTTGTAGATGTTTTCTGTAATAATAATCTCCTATTTAAGAAGAACTGTGATTCCATATGTGAGTCTTATCAGGCATTCTGTTTCTATTCTCTTTTAGGTCTCCTATGTAAAAGCTATTGACATCTGGATGGCTGTGTGCCTTCTCTTTGTGTTTGCTGCATTACTGGAATATGCAGCAGTCAACTTTGTTTCAAGGCAGCACAAGGAGTTTCTGAGGCTTAGAAGAAGACAAAAGAGACAAAACAAGGTACTGCTACTTTAAACTCACATTCTAAAACTTACTTTCCAATGACTGATTACTCCTTGATAAAAGGAGTTGAAAACTTGCAACAGGTTCCATCTGCAGTTCATTACCCTTATAAATAGGTGTCAGTGGATTGGTCATTGATCCTGTGTGTCTCATTCTCCAACCAGACTTCCTGAGGCAATTGTGACTTCATGTGTTAAATACCAGATATATTAGGCTGTAGATATTTTTAATCTTCAATTTTTACACTACCCTGGATGCAACTTCATTGGTACCCAGGAAACTGGGAGTGCTACTGTAAACAGGGCATCGTTTTTTGTTTTGTTTTACCTCTGTGCCTTCTAGACCTGCTGAGGCCAGAACCTTCCTGAGACTTGTCTAATGCTCCCACTGTACTGCTACTAGCATTGAAATGGAAGGTGTTTTTTTTTAAATCTAGTATAGGAAAGACCACCATTCTGCTTCATTTGTACTGGTTGGAATTAGGAATGATTTCATTGAGTTCAGTGGAGTTATGTGTGAAACTGGTAAGAGAGAGATCAGGACCAGGGATTGATCTTTCTTGTCCAGATTCTACTACTTTGCAATTTGTTGACCTATACAGACCCGAAATTGCTTAAAAACACAAACAAACAAAAAACAAACCAAAGGGTCAAGTCATCCCATACCATTAACCTGAAACTTAGATCAGAAACTTGTTTTATCCTGAATACCAATCTGCGAGCATTTCCCATTTATTCAGGAAACATCTTTCCTGAAGTTTTATTGTAATATAAGAGACATCAATACTTGGAAATAGGCCTTACATTCAATTTTAGGACAGCAGAGCTCATTCCCACAATTATAAGAACTTTGCATTATACAACTTCTTTATATCTAAAGCTGTCTCCAGTGCAGCTGGAAGCATGCTTCCTGGCATGGGTTGACAAACACACACTAGTTCTGCTCGAGCTTGTGCGCTAAAAATAGCAGGGTAGCTGCCTGAGTGCAAGTCCACCCTGGCTGACTAACCTGAACCTCCGTCCATGCTACCCTGGCTACACTGCTATATTTAGTGCTCTAGATTCAGCACACTCCCAGCTGCATTTTAGACATACCCTTAGTCATCACAGTAGGAACATTCAAGTTTAACCCCTGTGTTTGGGTTTATAGTAGGTTGTATAAATGTATCAGGCAGGAAAGGCACAGAAATATTTGTGTTTGGAGAGTTTTGTTTAACAAATGTTTAACTTAAGGGGTGGTCTTGGAAGGAATCCGGTCTTGTCCTCTGATCTAGTGCTATTGTCAGGTGAATAGAGATTCCCATTAAGATTCAATTCCCCCTGTAGGTATGTGTAAGATACAATTCCAAATCTGCAGGCATGTGTGCCAGAATTGCTGCCACTGGAGGCCTTTATTTCCAAGAGTAATGTGGTGGCAGCAGAAGCTGTTTTATTTGTATTGTAATTCCAGTTTGAGAAATACTGACTTCTCTGGAGGGGAATGAGTTGTTAACAGGCTAACATTAGCAAGTGACAGTACTATAACTACATAGGCCTAAAAGTGTGTGTATTGATCAGCAATAGCAGTAGTTATACAGTAGTTGTGCTACTCTTCTTTCTTCACACAACACACAGCCAACCTGTGGAACTCTTTGCCTGAGAATGCTGTGAAGGCCAAGACTATAACAGGGTTAAAAAAAGAACGAGATATGTTCATGGAGGATAGGTCCATCAATGGCTATTAGCCAGGATGGGCAGGGATGGTGTCCCTAGCCTCTGTTTGCCAGAAGCTGGGAATGAACGATAGGGGATGGATCACTTGATGATTACCTGTTCTGTTCATTCCCTCTGGGGCTCCTGGCATTGGCCACTGTTGGAAGACAGGATACTGGGCTAGATGGACCTTTGGTCTGACCTAGTATGGCCAGTCTTATGTTCTTATGGTCTAGGATCATTTGCTGTGAAGACCTGTCTTTACTCTTTGCTAATTTGATTCTTGTAAATAAATCAAATGTGAAAGATACAGGAAACTTTTTTTTGTAATAAAAGAATATCAAATGAGACAAGGGCAGTTATCCATTTGGGTTGGTTTTGCTTGACTTTCCTAGGAACCCTGATGCTCGTGTTTCACAGTGAGGAATAAAGTTTCTAAGACATCCTTTTTATTTTTTTATTTCCACTGTTATTTGTTTGTTTGACTTTCACAATGTATTTCTTTTTGAACTGATCCATGTGGTTTTGCATGATGGTCTTCTCTCACTGTGCCATTCTTTCTTTCTTTCTTTCACTATTGTGCTATTTCCATTCTCACTACTGCTATCTGTTTTGACAATCTGGGGCCAGGCACAGACTCTGACTGTTGGGAATGAAAGCGTCCAGTCGGTGCGGCACATGAATGGCTTGCGAAGTAAAGAGTCGTCAACGTATAGGAAAGTGAATCAGATTTACAATTCAAACTCAAGGGTAAAACCATAGAGAGAAAGAGGGACCAAGAGAGACACTTGGTGTGAAAACAGTGTCATAAACCAGCAGCACAGCTTGTTTTCATGGCATCACATGTAACCTCTTGTGTTCTCTTTACTAAATGCCACAGTGAAATATAGAATACTATCCCCAGCATGAAAAGCTGGTTCATGCTATACATTTTCACCTCTCATGCCCCATCTTTATACCCACCCCCCCACTACATTCATGGTACTGTCATCACAAATTTTCTCAGGAAAAGTGCATTTTCATTGTGTAGCTTGGTTCCCCTGTAAATGTACTTACTGTATAGTGAGTGGAGACAGGAGAGTAGACAGTGCCTGGAGACAGAAAAAGCCTCTTTTATCTCATCTTTCAAATGAATGTATTCCAATAAAACTAGGTTCGTGTAGTGAAATGCACTTTGACATGACATTCATTCCTAAACCTGAAACCCTACAGTGTTCCTTCTCAGCATGCTCTGACTCTTGTTTATGGGGGTGTGAACACCTATGAATTAAAAAGAAACTGGTTTACTGATTTTTTTTCTTCTTCTTCTTCTTTTGTGAAGAGCAGTTGGTCTGAAACCTTTTATATTTACAGTATACACCACCCAGAGCGAGTGTTATTTTAGCAGTTTTGCAGTAATGTACTGGCAGCTGATAGACCCAGATTATGGGTGAGAAGTGGGGGTAATAAATTCAGCGCTGGAGGGAGAAATCATTTTAGGGATATTGCTCATTATACAGTGCTGGTGGCTGACCTATAAAACTCTGGTGTTGCAGATAAAATGGAACCAGAATCTAAACCTCCCTGGAGTTGGTTTCCCAAAACAAAAACAGCTCATCTCTGCTCTCAAACTGGCTATTGTCTTATGCTTCTGACTCTGACTCAGTAAAAAAGTGATTTCAAGGGATTTTGCTGCATTATAAAAGAAGCATCATCAGAGCAGAACCACACAGCTCCTGGTGTGAGCCCTTTCTTCCATTTTCCCTGTATAAGTCAATAAGCTGATTGTTGTCAGGTGGAGCCACTAGCCAGGCTGGATTCCATATGCAACCCAGAAAATTGAACAGTGGCATTGCAATGTGAACAGAGTGTTTTTGCCCTAGGTGTGACCATATTTATACATACACAGAACTGACAATAACAAGAGAATTGTCAGGTTCTCTTTACAAGGTAAAATTAATTGGTTTATACAGCAAACATAATGTGCATTCCTGGAAACCACACTCATTATAGCAAAACTAGTTGTAATAGGTGCTCTGCTGTGCAGTTCTTATAAACCTTTTGGAGACACCTAGATGAGGCAGGCATCGGGCCTGATTTCCCTTTTTCCTGGAAAATCCACAGAGATCTCTCTCCTGAATTTCCATGATGGCATTGCCCCTACTGCACATAAGGCCAGGATCATTCACATAGAGGCTGTGTACCTCTGCTGTATTTTTGGCACCATTTTTTGGCAGGTTGGGCTCCAATGGAGTTGCATTATCAAGGTTTCTGTAGCCATGAACTGGGTCCAGAGAACAACCAACATAGAAAGTGGACTGCTCTTAGGGAATCTTCACTGGGACAGTGGGAGGTGATGCATATTCCCCAGGGTCATACACTAGGCCTGCCACTTCCTCCCCCCAGCACCAGTTCACCAGGTGAAGATCTCCAGCAAGTTCCTATAGAGATGCTGCCAAAGAGGCAGCTGATCACCCATCTGTACAGTGTAGATGATTGCCAAGCAGAGTGAAACATAGATCTTGAACATAAGAACGGCCATACTGGAGCAAACCAAAGGTTGATCTAGCCCAGTATCCTGTCTTCCGACAGTGGCCAATGCCAGGAGCCCCAGAGGGAATGAACAGAACAGGTCATCATCAAGTGATCCATCCCCTGTTGCCCATTCCCAACTTCTGGCAAACAGAGGCTAGGGACACCATCCCCTGCCCATCCTGGCTAATAGCCATTGATGGACCTATCCTCCATTAATTTATCTTGTTCTTTTTTTAACCCTGTTATAGTCTTGACCTTCACAACATCCTCTGGCAAAGAGTTCCACAGGTTGACTGTGTGTTGTGTGAAGAAATACATCCATTTGTGTTTTTTAAACCTGCTGCCTATTAATTTCATTTGGTCAACCCTAGTTCTTGTGTTATGAGAAGGAGTAAATAACACTTCCTTATTTACTTTCTCCACACCAGGCATGATTTTATAAACCTCAATCATATCCTCCCTTAGTCGTCTCTTTTCCAAGCAGAAAAGTCCCAGTCTTATTAATCTCTCCTCATACAGAAGCCGTACCATACCCCTAATAATTTTTGTTGCCCTTTTCTGAACCTTTTCCAATTCTAATATATCTTTTTTGAGATGGGGTGACAACACCTGCATGCAGTATTCAAGATGTGGGCATACCATGGATTTATATAGCAGCAATATGATATTTTCTGTCTTCTTATCTATCCCTTTCTTAATGATTCCCAACAGCCTGTTCACTTTTTTGACTGCCGCTGCACATTGAGTGGATGTTTTCAGAGAACTATCCACAATGACTCCAAGATCTCTTTC